GATAGATAGATAGATAGATAGATAGATAGATAGATAGATAGATAGATAGATAGATAGATAGATAGATAGATAGATAGATAGATAGATAGATGAAGCTGCAGTTTGCATCGTGTTTTAGTGACTCTGTGGTGAGCTGCCCCCTCCAGAGGTTCACTTCAGTTTCTGTGTTTGGAGTCTGTAAAAATCTAATAAGATCATGCTTTAAATCACAAGACAAAAAATGTCTGTCAAAAATGGAAATTGTTGTCTTTTCTTTTAATGTTTTTTTTTCAATCCGAAACCCACCTCTGAACGTCAGATCATGAAATCGATCTTTTATTCAAACAATTGTGAAGCTTTCTATTGTTTCTGTGTGTTTTTACCCAGTTTCTCTGAAATTTTCCTCCAATTTGAAGCTTGACCTAGAAAAATACTTTCCTTGGCCAGCCAGCTGATGATTTTAGCTTCTGCTAAGTAAGTCCACTGATTATCTTGAAAAAACAATAAAAATGATCCAAAATGTCTGGGGGAATTACTTAACCTCATAACACCATATGTATTAAAATAATACATATGGTTTCTGCAATGTTTTGCAACTGAGACCTTTTGCATCCTTCAATGGTAAAAACTTTGCTCAAAACTCTATTGTTCACAATCAGACAGACCTGATAACACCGGGCAGAAGACTACACAACTACCATTTTGACTGATCATACGGTAATGAATGATGTATATTTAAAAAAAAATCTGTATTTTCTTCATATTTTGTTAAAGGGCCAAATATAGAGATCCAACAAACAAAACATATATGTTTGTTTTTTGGATCAGGCTTCAAAGGGTTAAAGCTGTTTCTATATTTTTACAAGATACTAAAGCTGGGCAAGAACATAGAAACTTGAATCTTAGACTGCTTTAAGATTTAGTTGGAAGTTTTCAGTAAGAAAAAAAAAGGTCAGACAAAATTCTTTCATCTGGAATTTCAGGTCTGATTCACAAGCCAGCATTTATGAAACACATGCTCCAGTAGAACATGTGTAAAGTATGAAGAAATGATGAACCTACACAGAGGTTTGGATTATTGGAGACTTTATTAAAAAGGAATAAAAACAACATTGACAAGATTCAAGATTCATGATTCAGAAACTTTTCTATCTCAAGGGAAATTGCTGTGGAAGACTTGCGCTACAGGGTGAAAATAAATAAATGCATCTAAAGTAGTGAGTGACCAGTGATGAATTATGGCAGTTTTTAAAAAATACAACAAATAAGTCAGAAACACAAGTGTGCTATTTGACCTTTCTCCACTAAAACCAAGATTTCAATAGTCCACTAACAAAACCACAAAAAAAAAAATCAGTAAACTATTCACTGAAAGGATTTAACACCACTTCATTTAACACAATTTACTTCAAAGTATCTTTAAAAAGAACTAAATCAAGTAAAACAGATGTTTTACTTGAATAAACACTAAAGCATACAGTCAATTTAACCCAATGTAAGTAATTAGTTTTTCTTTTACTTAGTAAACAATTCAGTAAACTAACAAAAAAGTCTTCTCATATCTATCCTCCTTCTTACTGACCGCTAAAGATGACTTCATCAGGCAGGTTTTTATCATCAGCATAAAACAGACAAACCAGTTTCACTGATGTCTGGAATCTGAGCTTTGTGTCTTTAAACGTTTATGGTTGATATCTCCATGTTATCGGACCCTAAAATGTACTTTTCATGACAGGATGGATTCAGGAGGCTTATTTAAGTGTGTGTGCTTTTAATATATCCTCTGTCATCAATATTAATTACTGATTGATAAAACCCCTGAACTGAAAAGAAATCCAAAAGTAGGTTGGATTTTCAATCACTCAAACACAAAGAAGCTTATTAGTCCTAATTATCTGAATAATATTTCTTGAACATTCTTTGTTTCTTGCTGTGAACAAATAAGGCAATTCTTTGAATGAAAAAATACCTTATCAAAATATTTGTCAGTTTTTATAATTATTTCCCAAATTCATTTTAGGTGAGTTTCAGTAGTTGTGGATTTCTATCAGAATGTCAGCCGCTTTGCCACCAAAAGCAAGAAACAATGGAATTCAGGGTTCTGCAGAGAAGAGGGTGATGATGCTGTTCTGCATTTCAGTGAGACTTTATTAAAAAAAAGATGAAAGCTTGATTAAAACGGAAATCACAGTTTCAAAGTGAATGTTTATGTGGATACAAAACGGTTAATTTATAAATTGAATATAAAAAAAAAAACTGAGTATGTATTTCTACAAATTTACTTTATACTGTATACTTTTTCTAGCCTCTGTCTGCTTTGTTTAACACATGAATGAACTCACCGTGATCACAGCTGGTTGTTTTTCAGGCCTTTTGGATCATTTGCTCCTGAACGTTTTCCTCAACGTTTTTTACAGCTGGAAGGTCAGAACAGAGTTAAAAACATCCTGAATCCTGAAGCTCACAGAAATAGTCCTAAAAACGCTGCTCAGCAGAAAATCAGCAGTATGTATTTTCTTTTCAGAGGACGAACAAAATAAATGTTTCACTACGAGATAGAAGGCGCTTGGCTGAAATAAAAAGAAGAAACTCTTTAATACTGTTCAGACATTTTCATACACATCATGTTTTACCTCATATAATTTGAACTCAATTGTTTAATTTTAACTCAAACTTTCAAGTCAGAACCCTGAGAAAGGTCAGAAAAATGTGTTGGTTTCTCACTACTCATTACAGAAGATTTTAGATCCTGCATGAAAAATACTTAATGGAATAACTATTTCACAAAACATTTTTCTTCCCTTCAGTTAGACTTCATTCTTACCTGCATTGGTCCTAATTATTCCTTTCTCCAGTCTGGTGGGGAGGTCTGCTGTTTTAGAGAGCTGAAACACACATTCATACTTCGTCCAGTCTTCAGCTGGAACTGATGAAACATCCAGGTCAGCACTCATCTGGAAGGTTCCATTATTTTTGGGGAGGATCTCTTCTTTGGTCACTCCATCATGGACATCATGTTCCTGAGATGGATTTAATACATGTCAGACGTGGAAGTGGAATGAAAGAAAAGTAAAAAAGATTAAGTGCAAAGGAAAGAAGAGATAAACCTGCAGAAAGTCAGACAGAACTGATAAAAACAGCTGATAAATATGAAGAGAAAATAAAATAAAGAGGCACTGAGGGAAAATGAGAGAGGAAAGACCAGCAGGGCTTCATTATCAGGTCTGAACATAAAGAGAAAGATGGAAACTCTGTGACTCTGATTCAGCTGTGACTCTACCTGTTCTCCTCAGAACGCTGCTCCCATAGTTCACAAATTTCCAGAAACCAGAAAAGCTAATACAACTGCACACAAAATCCTTACATAAACAGTTAGAAACTCCTCGCGAAGGTATAAATAGTAGGCTAAACTTTATGACCTCAGACAAAGTGTTCCTTTGCAACTTTCTGATAATGTCAAACAGATCCGTATCCTTGTCCTCCAGGATGCTTAACGTATCCTGTGATCATTCAGTTTCCTCTCGCGATATTTCTTTTGTATCCTGTTTTTTAAAAACTTTTTTCTGGAAATAAAATTTACGTGTCATTTATGAATATGTCTGCTATTAGGATAGATTTTCGTATACATTACATTTTTTTATTTCTTTAAATGTCATATAGTTTCAGAACAGGTGAACGAGCAGAGCAGGTAACGGAACGAATCCTCGCGATATTTCAGTGAGTTTAGATGAGTTAATGCCACGTCTGACCAGCAACATCGACGTAGACAGAAATATTGGCACTTTTGCACGCACGAGAAAGAGTTATTCCCTCACCCAGCAGCTTGGCATGTCCAACACTACTCGGTAAAGCAGTCTTGTGTGTTTTTCATTTTAATTTTAATTTATTGTTGTAGTGATCCTGCAGCAGCATCATGCTAGCAGTTTGGTTATTAGCTTGCTAGCTGCCTGATTAGCATCTCTCTTTACAACCTGTGGAAGCCGGTCGGCCGTTTTTGTTTGATGATGGGCTTTTGCTGTTTACGGTGAGATTAGATTAAACTATTTCCAAACAACCCTTAAGAGATTATCTGCTTTAGATCCACATTTGGTGTGTGTGAAACAGCACATAATCACAGCAGCACGAAGCTAGCTACACGAAACCTGAATGTTTGACTTTAAACGGGTCCGTTAAACATGTAAACTATAGTTTCATGACGCACAGGTTAGCTGATTTACCGCAGTATTCTACAGTGTTGTTGTCTGGACAGCTAAAATGGAAAAGCCCAACATTACTGCAGCATCTGTTAGCTGTTTGCGGCACCCCCACGCCTGTCTTAGATGGTAAAAGTCCCACTTTGAGTTTGGTTAGTGTTAAGATTTTAACTGATCCGTTAAGCAAGCTGCAGTTGGCATTGAAAGGTATCCTCCACAATAAGCAATGCTCATCAATCTAAGGCGTCTGACACATCAAATCAGCCGAACAGTCTATTTGCTCAGGTCAAATCTAGAGACAGTTTAGAGGATTCTCGTGGGTGGTCGAACCAGTGTTTCCTTTGATTCAGAATCACGACAACTCTCCTCAGTCCATTTCCACACAGGCCACGCTGTCATTCCTAAGCCTGGCTGTTAGCCCATTGTTTAGCCACATTAGTAAGAATTGTTTAAACTGTTACCTATTTGCCACTTTGAAATGATTAAAGAATTCCAAACGAAATGTTCATTTTCATGTTGCAATTCAACATTCCTTATAATTTGCTATCAAAGCGCACACAGCCAAGCTACATGATCTACATCACACTGCAGCAGTTTTAGTCCATAGAAGTGCAGTTGTTTCAGCTATGATAAGGCGTCTGATGGCCCTGCCACAGGGGTGAAAAATGGAAGTTATTTAATGTGTACAGGGGGCTGAAGACGCATGAAGTGGGAACCTCTTTTTTCTGTGTGTGTCACAGGGGGAACATGGGCCTCGTGCGTCTACTGGCACTGGCCACGGCCGCCGTGTTGCTGCTGGCCTCCCATTCAGCCATCGCTCACAGCCATGGCGACCATGGGCACGGCCACCATCACCACGGCCACCATCACCATGGCCACTCCCACGGAGACGAGGATGACCATGGACCCCCAGTGAAGATGTTCCACGGGGCCAGCAAGTGGAGCGCTGAGGCCAACCTTCCCACTCATGAGGACGAGCATCACGGACACGATCACGGGCACGCCCACGACCATGGACATGACCACGGGCACGCCCACGACCATGGACACGACCACGGGCACGCTCATCATGAGCACACTGTTGGAGTGAACAAAGAGAGCGGACACTCACACGGGGCAGACACAGCAAACAGGGAAGCAGGTGGAGAGAAGAGGGACCTGGCCGAGCTGTGGACACAGGTGTGCTCAGTTCCTCCCGGATATCCACATTTCACCACAAGTTACTGTTTTTAC